AGAGGAGAGGAGAGGAGAGGAGAGGAGAGACGAGAGAGGAGTGAGAGACACAGGAGAGAGAGACAGCACACGCGTGACCTGGAGGTCTGGACAGCTAGGCGAGGACAGCTGATGACAGCGGGCCTGCTACCTCTCTCCCCCAACCACACAAGTGGTGGCCATCCCAGGACACTTACACGCTACTGTCTGTCATGGACATGGAGTCATCGGTCAGCGCATCACTGGAGAGCTCACTGTCATTGGCGCTGGTGGCCGGCGCAAAGACGTACCCGGAACCTACATGGTACGGATTAATGGGATCGTTCCTCTTGAAAGACCTACAGGAAAAGAACAAGAATAGTGTGGTCACTGAGCCTCACCAGAACCCCAGGTGACCCAGGTGACCCCAAGAAACTAGCTGTGTCAACCTGCAGCTGTCATCTGAGCAGGGACCCAAAAGTGGAGCCAGTGGAACTCACCTTACAGTGGATGGGGAAAGGGACAGCATTCCAGAGCCTCCCAGAAAGTTCTAAACACACATTTCACATCAGGGAACGAAGCTCACTCTGGAGGGGGGCTACTGTGTAGTGCTGTGAATATGGGGTGTAAGCCAGTGGAGAGGGTGTGTCTTTCCCCTCCCCTTCTCCAAGGCGGCACCACCAATGGCCTCCTGACCTCAGTGGGTCACCCCACCTCCACCCTCAATGACTCAGACTGCCTTCAAAGCTCAAAGCCACCCGTCTACCTGCAAAGGATCCAAGACCAGACATGACTCTGGAGAGCAGGCATGTCCCTGGGTGAATTCAATACAACAAGGAGATACAAGGAAGTAAGCCTAGGGCCCCAAGACCTGGGAAGCATCCACACTCCCAGTCCGGGGCCTGCGAGCAGGGCTCAGAGACCCACACTCACCCACAGCAGGGCACTTCAGCTCAGGGAGGGTAAGACAGGGCACCGAGTCTCAGGGTTCCCACACCATCCACCTGAGATGCTGGGCCTCCGTCCTGCCCACCCCGCTCTCCACCAGGAGCTTCCTTCCCCCAGAGGGGGTCACCGGTTATAGCCAGTGGGATTCAAGGGAGCAGCACAGCTGTTTCAAAGCAGCCCTGGGCCTCTCCTCTCAATGACTCCGACCTCTTTGTTTCAGGGACCTCTGACTCCCCACTTTTGCCCTCTTGATCTCCTCCCAGAACATCCAGTGTGTGCCTATCTCCTGCTGGGCTGCATTCTTCTCTGTCATCAGTTGAGGGACAGGGGTGAGGGGCCAGGGGCCAGTGTGTGTGCGGGGGGGACATGGGGGGGGGAGCTCGCTCAAGCCTGCAGTCACAGGAGGCTTTGTGTGGGAGAACCCTGGCGCACCCTCTTGAGCCCCCTGTGCCTACAAAATCCATTACAGAAAGGAAGCCCAGAAGAGAGTATGTACCCCAGGCTGCTGCAGGCAGGCCATAAAGATGGCCTGGGGGCTGGCAAATGAAAAGGGGCTCCCGAAAGATTGTCAGTGAATCATCTGCACGTGTTCACCAACTGCCTGCTGACCCAGAATGTGAGTGGCACTGTGCTGGACTCTGGCTGTACAGGTCCAGGCTCACGCCTCCTGGAACCCCTGGCTGTGACACTGGGTCACCACCGCGTGTATGTGCTTGAGAGGTCAGGAGGAAGGGATACACCCTGTACCAAGACATATGCTTACGGAGTCCTCTCACTTAATCCTCATCGTGTTCTATGAGGTTATCTCTGTGCCCCTTTCACAGATGAAGCCCTTAATGTCTGTCTTCAAGGTACAGCAGCCCATCCCAGACCACACAGCTGGAAGTGATGGGCATGGGACTGACTCACTGGCTATCACTAAATCTCTCCCTCTGCCTCCCAGTACAAAGGCCCAAAGGCCATCTGCAACATAGTTTGAAAGCTCTAGAAAGACAGGCTTTTTGGTTTTTTTTTTTATTATGAACCGTGGTATAGAGACTGTGAGTCACCTGAGAGACTCCAGAGGGTAAGGTGGATGCTTCTCATGAAGAGTGGTAGTGGAGGGCTTTCTGAGAGAGGTAGCCGCTATACCTTGCTCTGTGGAAAGGATGCCCAGGGCCGAGGAAGGCAAGGCAGTGAAGTCTTCCTCAGGATTAAGAAAGTGGGATGGGGGTGTCTAACCAGTGAGGTCAGAAGTCTGCCTTGAGTGCAGGGCCAAAGCAGAGTAGGCGGGAATTTCTCAGAAGCATGTATGATCCGGAAAGTGGCACCAGGTTAGAGCTCAAGCAGTGGTGGGGTGGGCAGAGAGGCCGCTGGGAAGGTGTTGCCACTGCTGGTGGGCAGTGAAGTTGAAGAAGAGAGCAGAACAGACTATCCTGGTCTTTTAACAACTTGCACTCCGGTTTGAGAGAACAAACTCCCCCCAGAGTCATAAAATTTCAGAGCCAGAATGAACCTAGGAATTATCTAAATCCAAGCCTCTTGGCTTAGAAATGTTAATTAAAAACCAAGAGCTGCCACTGGCTGTGTACTTCCTACATGCCTGGTGCATTCCTAAGTGGACACGTGCCATACGCATAGAGTCACCCCCAGGTGTGTGGGGCCTTTGTTACCTGCATGGCTGCAATCCCAGAACCAAGACCAGGGCTACACGTGGTAGCGCTCACAGGCTATCTACTGTCCAATCATCTCCTTTCAGCCTGACGACCAAGGCCCCACAAGGCCATGAGCCTTGCTGAGGGCCCATCCATTGGCTCCTGGCCAGAAAGTCCCCACATCTCAACTCCTAGAACAGCAGCTCTAAGCAAGGATCATGCTTCTCTACCACTGCACCAAGCTGGGCCTTGAGTGCAGAGTTGGATCTAGTCTATTAGGCAGACAGAGGATTGGCCAAAGATGCAAAACCAGAGCCTCTCACTTGAATTCAGGTGTATTAAACACCTTTGACCGAGCAGCCAGGCAGGAGCTGTCGCTTGGCCTCTATGACCCATTCTTGCATCTGTCCAGAGTCAGAAGACTCACCATCTCCCAGCATGCTGAGCAAATGAGAATGATAAAAAAAAAGAACCACTCGTGCTTTAGGACCCACTCCCCGGCCCTCCATCTGGGATTCCCTGTCACCAAGGACCGACACGAGTAACGGGAGCAAAGGGAAGTCTGCAGGGGCCATTCAGCACAACCTTCTCCTAGTGGACGTGGGGAACTTGGGAGGAGGAGAAGGAGGAGGGCCTCTGGCACCGTCATTAAAGGCACAACGGAGGAAACTGGTTTTAAGAGCCGGAAAACCTTCCACTTCCAAATGATTGGAGTGGACTTGTGAGGTGGAGGGGGCAGGTGACAGAATCACCGGAGTCTCTTTAAACAGCTCTAGTTCCCAGGTGTCTGGGGTACTATCTCAAAGCAAGACAAAGACAACCTTTTAGGGGTCCCTGCCCATCTCAGGGAACCCAGTGATAAGTTCTGTAGACTCTTGATAGGGACCAGAAACCAGCAGGATGACAGCTGGTACTGGTTTAGTTGATGGCCAGCTAGGTGACCACAGGCAAAAATCCCAGCCCGCTTGAATGCAGGGAAGTCCACCTGAAAACCCAGGAGTTCCAACATGACCACCCCCGTGAAGTTCTTCTATCCTCAAGGGTCCCCCCTGAAAGGGTACTGTCAATTTGAGAGGTCATTCCTATACTCTGAAAGGTCATCTACCAACAGAAACTGGGGGAGAGGGGTCCCCAGTCTCCCAGCTGCCCTCACAATGCCTTCAGCCACACTCATCATACCTCGTAACTGCATAGCACGTGTGTGCGTGTACTGAACGCCTGCCCCATCTGGCTAGACTGTAAGCCCCATGAGGGCAAGAGTGTGACCTATCTTGTCAGATGTCTCTTTAGCACGGGAAGCAGTCCGTGACGTGGGGCAGGGGCTCAACATTTTGTTGAACCTCCTTAAAAGACCCAGGCCGATCAGCTGGGTGGAGACCCAACAGCCAAAACTACATCCACCGCTGTCAAGTCACAGCAACTTACAGGACAGGACTGTCCCATCTATCTACTGATGAGTGGCTGCTGGGTTAAAACCGCTGACCTTCTGGGTAGCAGGTGAGTCATTATAAAAAAAAGCCACTTAACCACCGCACCACCAGAGGCCCAAGGGATGCCGTACAAGATCAGAAACATTAAACCAGCTTTCAACAGCATTCGAAGGCTCTCTCCACCTCTTCAGCACTGCTATCTTCGTCCTATTAATATGCCAACCATGTCCCAAAAGTGAGGCTTAAGCTTTAGCCTCGACAAGAAGAAAATGACTCAAAATCCCTTCCTCCTCGACTCAACCAAAGAGACACCTAACTCAAATTCCACAGGGTCCCAACCATCTCATGCGTGCCTTTTCACCCACAGACCCCCAAGTAATCTCTCTTCACTTTCAAACCACAGGGTCATTAAGAGTGGAACATGCTGTCCTCACTGCCACTCTTTGGCTTTTCCCCTACAGACGCGACAAGGTGAGGCGGGGAAAGGAGGCCAGGCTGTGTGAAAGAGACAGGAGCTCAATTTTCAAGAACCCAAGAGTTGCTTAAAATCACCAGCTAATTTTAAGAAAATAGGTTAGGGCTTGGTTTTTTGTGACTACTTACAAATTTAAAAAACAAAACAAAACAAAAAAAGCAGGCCAGAACTTGACCACACAGCAGTTAACTGTAGCCAGGTGCTTTGATGGGGCCTTCAGGACTGTTTGGCTCCCAAGGACAGCCGAGATTGCCAATTCCTGCAGTGACTGGGGCCCAGGGCAGGCTGCTGGGTTGGGTGATCATGGACAGGCCTGTTCCCAGCTTCCACATGCAGGGGTTTTACAGCTGTCTGGTACAAAGAGGCTCTGGGGAGCTGCCAGGAAGGGTCCATTCCTTTCCCTGACTATCCTTATCTCTTATCTTGATCAGATGCCATGGCCCTCTCTCCTCACATGACAGGGGGCACAGTGGCCAGACACAGACATGCAGTAGAGCTGGCCTTCTGGCCACTCTCCTGGGTCCCCCAACTCGAAACAATGCAACTTTTAAAAAGTATGGGCAGATCTCGGAGACACTGGGGGTTTGGTTCCGAGCACCACAATCAAAGCCATACAGCTATAAAATGAAGGGTGTCACTGGGTTTGGGTTTCTCTGGGCGTCCAGAGTTAAGTGTGCCCTTGCCTGCAGTCTATCCCGGGGTGACAGGGAGGGTATGAGAAAGTCCAAGACATGGAGAGCCACATGCTGTGGGACAAATGGCCCCGGAAGACGTGAGGGACCCAGAGTTGCCACAAACCTTTAATTTCTGAAAAAATGTAGGATCTGCGCAATAAATGGAGCTTCGCGTGTATTCACTTTTAATACAAAAAGTGCAGGGAGCACTTTTCAAGACAGCCTGTGCTGAGGCCCTCCCAAGGCCCTGCTCAGCCCTTCCACTCGGCCTTCTAAGCCGAGACCTGGCATCCAGTGAGGGGTGAGAGACCCAGGCCGTCAGATGGCAGGGCTCCCATCCGTACGTACAGTGTCACGTGTTTGAAAACTGAAGGCAAGCTTGATTCCAATGGTTTTGCCCCCAGACAGGCCTCATGAGTTGAGCTGTTGGAGGGCAAGGGGCCCTTGGAGCCAGCAGAGGGCCAGCTGCTAGGCCTGACTATTTTAAGCCAGGCCAGGGCAGAGGAGGGCCGCCCTGGGCAGGGTAGGGAAGCAAAGGTCCCGGAGCTCTGTGCCTCCCTAGTGCTGTCATCTCTTTCCCCAAATAAACCGGGGCTGGGCTCACCCCACAACCCCTCTGTGCACACGACACTCTGTGTGTGTTGGCTTCTGACATGTGCTTCTACCAACAGGTTGCCTCTGCTCGGGTTATTTATAGAGCCCATCAAACGCCCGGGCATGCTACTCACCCCAGCCACTCACCCCACAGTCCTTCCCTCTGAGGCTAATTCCTGCTCTTCCGTCCCAGCTATTTATATTAAACCTGACACCCAATCAGTCAGGACACAAACAAGTCATTAAACACACACACACACACACACACACACACACACACACACACACACACACCAAACGAGGCTCCTTTGAGGGCCCAAGGTAAACACAGCCCTGGCAGGCTGGCCCCTCCCCTGGGCACCCCGCTGCCAAGCCTGCTCTTTGGTAGCTTGATACAGACAGAGCATGGTAGGGCTTGTGCTGGGCCTGTTCCATTCATTTACCAACTCCATACACCCGTCCCATGTGCCAGGCACTTTACACTAGAGTGTGTGTGCGCGCGCATGTGAGGGCGGGGAGAGACCTGCAGCATGAGACAGGATTCCTGCACACCGTGATCTAGCACTGAATAGGATTTAAGCTTGGCAGGTACAGCAGGATGAGGCATGGAAAAGGAGGTTTACTCATACATCTTACAATGAAATATACAACTAAACCGCAAGAGCCACTCCTTGGTGGTGAGATCCCAATTCAGTTGCCCTTTTGACACATCCAATTATCATTAGGAAGTCTACTAATTATGACCCTTTACGTCTGTGTGAAGCGTTTCCATGTACGAAGGGCTCTCCTGTTTACTCTTTTTTTCTTAATGATAATCCCATAATAGCGAGAGGGGATAGTGTCAACCCATTATACAGATGGACACAGCAAGTTTAGAAAGGTTTCAATTCAACTCAGGCAGTAAGTAGTACATAACATGGGTCCTTAACCCTTGAATCCAAGAGCATTTTCAATACAATGTATATACGCTCCAATATCTGTATAGACAAATCAATACACACTGTACATTAAAATGAAATAGGTAAATATTTTCTTCTTTGATGATATTCCAACTTAAAACATATGGACTTTATGCAGTCCTGGGAAATACCTTCATTTCAAGTCAACAATGGTTGGTAAAAATAAAAATTCCAATATAGAAACTTTAAGAAATCAATGAAAAGCTGTGCATTGTGGACCAAGGATGCCCAAAGATGACAACCAAGCATTCCAAGAATAGTATCTAACAAACTTAATGCTGGCCCACCAATATGAGATACAGTGGTCAACAATTTTAAGCAAAGATGAGACTGTAAGGAGGCTGGGCAACTTGATGCATGAATACAGAACAACCAGAATAGGGGGAAAGGGAATACTCATGCCTTGTGAGGAATGTAACCAGTTACTGCAGTCCATATAGAAATCAATGAATAGGAGCCTTTAAAATGCTGTCAATCTTCACTGAAAACACAATGAAATACTATTTAGAAGGAAAAAATGAATCCTGGTACCGCCTGTCCCAGCTGAGACCTCTGGAAGGGGGAGGGTCCCCCACAAGAGTGGTCACTGCAGGTCTTGGCTCTTCCTACTAAGAGCCCTTTCTAAGGTCATCCAAAACCACACATTGTGCTATTTAAGAGGTAGTGCTCTGGGTCCGGACAGTGGGGACAAAAGTCCTACTGTCAGAAGGGCCCCAGGGAAGCAGTTCTACCACAAGCCCTAAGTACGCTCTGTCTCCCTTGAAGGAGGCAAGAAGGCCAGCAGAGGTCACCCAAATGTTCACTCCACAAAGTGGACTTACGGGCTGGCAGGTGTCAGCTGACTGCCCAGCCCCAAAGGCCTTGCCTCCTAAGCGGAGGCCTGGCATCCTCCTTCTTCCAAAACAATCTGGGAGCTTAAATTTTAGATTTAACCTTAAAGATGTGCTGAAATCAACTTCCTCATGTGATCCTTGCAAAACTCCACCCTTTGGGCCAGCTTGGTTCCCAGGGCTGTAAGAGTGCCCCCTGGTGGCTGGAGAACAAGTCCTTTCCAGTAGCACCTCCTGACCTTCTAGGTTCAGACTGACCAACCAATCACCTGCAGCAAGACCCTGGAGGCCATTCCAGAGGAATCCCGGGTCCCCAGCACTTGGAGGAGTGCAGGCTGGGTTGCTGGATAAACCATTCAGACATCCAACAAGCACACCCCACCACTTGTGCAGAATCCAAGCCACAGCCTACAACTAAGACTCTCATTCTCTTTTTGGAAATTTAGGACAGGGGTGGGAGGGTTTGGAAAACATCAGGAGGCCTGAAGTTGCTTCCAAAGGTCAAGAATCTTAAGACTTGGCCATTCTATAAGACTGCTTGGTCTTTGAAGTCTCAGAAGGAGAAAGCACAACAGAGCTTCAGTTGTTTCTGGCCAAGATCTCCTCTCCACCGGTGCTCACTGACCAAAGAATGAGCCGAAGTCTGACCGCCAGTCCACTCGAGTCTTAAACCAAGTGTCCTTCATTCTTGCTGGGTAAATTCTAAAGTTCCACAAAGGGGACCAACCACCAGGGCACTTGTTCAGCCAATTGCTGTCTGGCTCTTAACATCAAAGTTCAAAAGATCCCACTTACCCCTACATTCAATGGGCACACACGTCCCGTCCTGTGGCTCCACCACAGCCCAGCTGCCTTCCTGGCCACGTTAATCCCATTCTCTACTGATGAGTGGTGTCATGGCCCCCTTCTCTCAAACTGAGGCTTAGTGGAGCTGGTGACTCAGAGGCATCAAAAGCTGCTGTCCTCTCTGGTTCTCTCAATCCCTTCTAAGACTCCAGCCCAGGATAATAAGGAACCCACATTAATGAACACTGCTTGCTACTGTTTGAAGTTTGCACTGGAAGTCAGCAGGTATTTAGCTGTGTGGGCTTCACTCCCCCCCCCTTTAAAGAACCAAAAACAAGATCAAAGGCTTCAAGGTCAGCGGTCCTAACTCTCAAGAGGCCTTCATCAGCCTCAGCAGAACATCCACCCAACTATCCATCCATCTATCCATCCATTCATCCATCCACCCACCCACCCACTCACCCAGCCTAGTTTAACTCAAAACATCTGCCAAGTCCCCAGCCGCCTCCAACATGCCCCGCCCCCAAACCCCTCCCCCTCACTTCGGCCACAGTCTTACCTGTACGCATTTTCCACTGCCTCCGTTGACCTCACGCTCGCGGTGGCCCGCAGAGTTTTACTGGACAAGCCAACCACAGTGGGCGAGAGTTTGCATTTGAAGTCAGCACAAGTCCACTCCTCCTCTTCATTCAGGGTGGGGAGATAGCCACAGACCACCTTCAGGCTCCCCAGGCCCCCGCTGCTCATGTACGCTGGGTTCTCGCCCCCGCTCCTCACGTATTCGAGGTATATGTCAGAAGTCAAAAACATCTGATAGGCATTCTCCTCCATCACCGCCTGGATCTCGGTTTGCGCCTGGTCGAACATGACCGAGTCGATCTGTTGCTTCTTGATGCCATCACGGATGTAGGTCTTGGTGGCAGGTTTCAGCTGCTTGGACACGATGCTGTTGTTCTCGATGTACCTTTTGTAGATCGCTTTGGCTACTCGTAAAGTTTTGGTATCCTTCAGGTTCATCTGCCTGAAGCCATTGCAGGCAAACCAGAAGTCTAAGGTATCCACACATCTCTCTCTCTCCAGGAAAGTCCGGAAGAGATAAGCTCCATCTTGATCGCCCAACAAAGAGTGCAAAGACTTGGTCCATCGGGTCAGAGGAGAATCAGGGGACGCCCGTCCCTCGGGCTCTCCCAGTCCATCCTCATTCCGCCGAGCACTGGAGGACACAGGCATGGGTTTGGTGACCTGGCCCTTGCCCAGGCCAGCCTGGCACGGTGGGGTCTCTCCTTCTTCCCCGGGCACCGGGGGCCTCGGGGCATCCTCTCGGAAGCTGCTGCTGGGGTCCGGGAGGCGAGGCACCAACACAGCGCTACTCATGGCCGGCAAGTTCTGACTGAGTTTGGGGCTTTATTTCTCCCCCCTTCCAGTTCCTCTCAGCAATCAGCGTGGTCTCTTTTTCTCCCTCTTAAGTCAGCAGGGGCTCCTCTGAGCCTCCTCTCTGGAAAGAAAAGGAAGGGGGGGAGGTAGGAAGAGAGAAAAGGGTATTGATCTAATCAAAACCAGATCTACCCAACATCAAAGCAAGAAAGTAAACAGGCTTTTCAACTCCTCAAATTCAAATCAAGCAACCCAGCTATCTTCGAGGTGCGCATCTAAAGTATCAGATGCTGCTTTTTCAAAGGCGAAACCTGAGCTCCCAGTACTTTTGGGGGGGAGGAGGGGACCAGTGGAGAAGGGTAGGAAGAGAAGATGAGGGATCTGAGCAGGGAAGAGAAAACCTTCCCAAAACCCCACTTGGCCAATGCATTCCACGACACTGGGGCTGCACCTCCCCACTCCCTGCCCCTCCCCGATAACATTAACTGCAAAGACTCATTCTGAGGCAAGGGGCTGGGTACAGGTGAAACCAATTTCGGGAAATTTCCCAGCTTCGGCTCTCGGCACAGATAACTCAAGCTCCAAACGTGCCCTTCCTCGGCATCTGGTTCCCATTCCCCCATCCACCCCCTTCCCTGTCTCCCCCCTTCCACTCCTTAAAAATTCCGAGGATCCGCGCCCGAAAGCAGCCCTCCCTGCACGGAGAGAAATCCGTTCCCGGATGCCCATCCAGCGGGCAAATTACCCACTGCACCACAGATCTTGCGGGCAAACGCCCCCACCGCCCCCCAATCCATCAAGAGAACGCGACCCCATTGCACCCTAGACCCACAACACCCCGCAGATTCAACAGGCAAATGCCTCTCACTTCACCCTAGACCCAGCACTAAAGCCCCCACCTCACCCCAGACCTGGCGCAAACGCACGCCACCCCTGGTCCGGCAGGCAAATGCTCCTTACTCACCCCAAATCCACCAGGCAAACGCCCCTTATCCTAACCCTGATGTAAACGACCACTGCGGTCCCCCACCCCCGATGGCCAAGAAATCTGGCTCCATCCCCATCTCGGTTTCCCCAGCTCCCCTCTAACCAGAACCCAACTCACTCTGCAAAGCCTTTGATCTTCAAACTTTGAGCGAGAACAGAGAAGCCGGGACCCGCCGCCCTCGCTCCCCCAACCCCAGCCCACCTCCCGGAGCGAACCTACAAAACCGGATCAGAAGCCCCTACTCGACCTCTGTTTGTGCCAAGAACCGAATCCCAAACTACTGATCTCAAAGCCTGTCTTTTTAAAAAAACCCAAAACGACTTAGCTAACCAATAAACAAGCAGCATTCTCCAGCAAAGGCAAGATCAAACTAAGCAGCGCAGGGCCAGGGATGGGGGGCACAACCCCGGGGAGGTGAACGCACGGCCCCCACCCCGGTCTCGGTGGTCCTCCAGGCACTCCAAAGGGCGAAGTGAAGGGGCCACCGGCTGCTGCCCTCGCTACCCCGGCCCAGAGGAGGTGGGGTGGTCCCGTTACCTGGCGGGAGAAGGCGACCCGAGGCCCAGCTCTCATCTCTGCCAAGACCCTCCGCACCAACCCCTCAGCTCAAAGCAAACCAAACATGTCCAAAGCTCCATCAAAGGAGCCATCGAGAGCAGGGCCGGAGCCCCCCGGAGGTGGACGAACGAGCAGCGCCCGGAGCTGGTCGGTCAGCGCTTCGGTTCCGCCACTCGGCCACTCGCAGACGCGCCCGCAGAAAAAAGGCACAGAAAGCAACCGCCAAGTCAGAAATGGCGACGCGCGGAGTCTCTGCCTCTCCGCACAGGGGACGAGAAGGGCCGGGGGCGCGCGGCCCGGGCGGGGAGGAGGGACGCGGGCGCCCAGCTCGGGCCGGTCCTGCGCGGAGACTGAGCCGCGGCCGGCTCACCGGGCCCCTAAGTGCGGGGAGGGGAGAGGGAGGCGGGAGGGAGGTGAGCTGGGTGGGAGAGAGGGCCGGGGGAGGGCGCGCAGCGGAGGGTGGGGAGCCACCACCCTTTCATCCCACCTTCCAAAAGCACTCCCGCGCACACTCACACTCCGACTCCCGTCCAGAACTGCGACAGCTCCCGGCGGGGGGGGGGGGGGGGCCTCTCCGCCCCCACCGTCACTTGGCCAAGTCTCCTGGCCAGAACCACCCCTTCCACCACCAACCACCCCCGCCAGCAATGGGGAGGGGGCTCCAGCCAGGCTGGGCCCCCAGAGCACTGGGCGCCAGACCCCTGTTCCCTCGCACACCCGCGCAGCGCGCGCCCCGAAATAGCCAGCCAGAACTTCAAAGGGCTGCCCCGCACATCAAAGCCCGCGGGCCGCCCCGCCGACTCTGCCTGGCACTCACCATGGATCGGCGCGCGCGCTCCGCGGCGAGACCTTGCTGGCGCCCTGGGCAGGGCCCCGGCCCCCGGCTCGGCTCGAGGTGGCAACCCCGGGCCCCCCCGGGCCGGCCCCAGCGGCGGGGAGCATGGGGGGGGGGGGGCGGTGGAACAACAAGCTCGAGATTAAAGCACAATCCGCCGGCGAGGAGGGTCGCCCAGTGGTGCGGTGCGTCCCGCTGCCCCTTATATGCTAAAGGCCCGCCCGGGCCTCCGCCCCCGCCGCCCCGCTGCGGCCGCCCCCGGCCCCACAGCCCCCGCCCCGCCGGCTTTCAACACAGGTCCTGTTTCCAGCAGTCACTCCGCGCACCAAATGTCCTCCGGGCGCTTCCAACAAAAACTGCGCTGTGGATTTAACTGTGCACTTCAAAGGCGCGAGCCGAGCGCACGGTCCTGAAAGGGAGGTACGCGCCCGCCGCGCGCCCCGCCGCCCCTACGGCGCCCCTGGCGCCCCTCCTCCGGGCCACCCTACCCTCAGTCCCCTCTCTGGCACATCCTCGACCCCACAGGACCCCAGCCTCCCCCCAAGACCGCGATCAAACCCCCGCACGACCTCGCCCCCTGGCCCAAAAGGTCTTTCTCAAGTAGCTCTTCCGAGCCAGCACCTCCACCCCACCTTTCTGGCCTGGCCTTTCTGCGGGAGTGACAGCTAGCTTGAGCGCCGGACTGCCCCGAAATCTGTGAATATTAGGGGATATTTTTATTTCCAGGCGTTCAGGTTGTTACTGAGTTGCCAGGACCTTATCAAAGCGCAGCCGGCTCCAGCCGACTCCCCCGGGCCGGGCTTCGGGAGCCAGTGATCCCGCCGCGCCAATCACAGCCGCGCTCGGCCGGCCCGCGCCGCTCGCCTTAAAGGGCCAGCGCCCCGCGCCGGGCCCGCCCCTGCCACACGCCCGGCTCTGGCGTTAACCCTTCCCCAGCCTCCCCGACCCCCGCCGGCCCCCTGGGCCCCCACCGCAGCGGCGTTAGCTGCCCGAGTTTCTGATTTCATCTTCTAACTTCTCCGGTCGCTTTACTCTCGCCTCCGCCCCCCCTGCTTTCCTTCGCCCGCCTTAGCTCTGGAATGCAACAGTTTATTGTAGCGTTCTGGTCGTCGCCAGAACTGCAAGCAAGCAGATTCTTTCCCCCACCTCCCCGACCCCCTCCCTATCATCAAACACTTCTCTACCTCCTATCAGTTCATTGGAAAATTTGGGCTTCAAAAGCGATTTCTAGATCTCAGATCGACTAACCAAGTGTCATAGAGCATTTACAGGCCCGGGCGCGCAGGCGTGTGCGCGCCTGTGAGCGCGCGATCTGAGTTTGGACCAATAACTGGGCTAAGGTGCATTGGGTGGGTGTGTAAAGATCAGGGTGTGCGCCTGCCAGCACGAGCCCAACTGCTGGAGGCGCTCCCTGACACCTCGTTAGGAACCATTTCTCAGCTCCCTGAAGATTTCATTCCAAATCCCACTGTTGCCCAGACCCCTGGGTTCCTTCCTGCGCGCGCGCGCGCGCATTCCACCACCTCTGTGGCAACTGCACACCATGAAGTCTCTTCGAAGCGTCCTCCATCCTCCCTCAGGTTACATAGTAGAGAGATAAGGGCTGTCATTTGTCCCTTAGACACGCGGGTTTGATGTCTTGAATGCACCTCATCCTACTGCTATCTTTTCATTCCCCCTGACCTACCTCTAATAATGTTTATGGGACACAACCTTCTCTTCCCCTTTGCAACACTAAGGAAATGTGCCACAAAATTCAGAACATTGTTTCTTTATTATTAATCTATTGCTACAGAATGATCCCTCATGTGACAATGACCTAATAGTTCACTTTTCTTCCTCTTAAAAGTAAACACACATAAACCAAAGCCAACCAAGACCTGCCAGGCAGACCCTCAGCCTTACCAAAAGCTAGGCATGGATTTGACTCTCTACTCTATCGACTCTTCATTGACTTTTTTCCGTAATTCAGTGTCTGGCAACGACCTAAACCACACCAAACTGTTGCTATACAGTCAATTCCAACCCTTAGCATGCCATGTGTGGCAGGTATTTCATGCATCATGTGGTGTTTTGTGTATTATGGGTTGCTTTGCTCACAGAAAAGTCAATGGTTCAAATCCACCAACTGTTGTAAGTGGGGGGGAGAGAAGATGGGCACCTTCGTCCTATAAAGACTTACTGCCTGAGGAACCCAATAGAGGGTTGCTATGAGTCCGATGGCAATGAGGGTAATATTTATAAAAATGAGTCAGCACTGATGGGTGGATTTGAACTTCTAACCTTTCTGTTAACAGCCAATCAAGTTCTGACAAGCCATTTTAAAAATAGAAGTGCCTTTGATCTCTCCTTAGGAAATCCTCCCTCCAGCTATTTAGGTTTCCATAGGAAGAGGCAAGGACTATATATCACCCATGGTATTCCGGAAAAGAGCAAACCTCAAGGACACCATTCCACACCCTCAGTCTACAATGGATGGGGCAAGGAACTACAGAATCCTCCAGCCTGGACTCCCTCTCTATGTCCACAACTGTCCCTTTAGGCAACACCTCTCTAGGTGCCAGGCATAAGGCCAGCAGTCCAGGCTATGAAAGACAGGCACCTCAGGGCAAACCAGGA